ATGACACACTTAATTTTGCAAAAATTGACTTCGCAAAGCCATTGAAATGTATTGAGTCAGCTTCAATACATTCCAATGGAGGAAACATTGTTTCGCTTAGCGATGTTTCCTATGGGTTTTTTCGCTTAACAACGGCAATCCGTTCCAATTGGAACGGATTAACCAGTTTCCAATGCATTCCTATGGGAAATGGTGTTTCGCATAGCGATGGTTTCACATAGCGATGTTTTTTTTGAACGAATTAACATCGCTATGCGAGGCACCACTGTACGTGTAAGTGTTGTGGCAAGTTAAGTCAAAATAGTTCCTTTTTAATGGTGACTTGGTACTTCCTTTGTATTGTGGCTACTGGTTTAACAAATTTTACAGTTGCAACTAGAGTTAGGCCCATTGAATGGAACTTAAGAGGAATTGACTCACCAACATAGTACAAACCTTTCTGGTTCTTTTTAAAGAACCACATTGGTTAAAAAAATATAAAGCCTTCAGTACCTTTTTTAGAATTTATGAACCTTACATTTTTTTTTACTACCCATATCCTATCAAATTGTTCCTTGTTGTCCATGAAAACTATTCTTGTTACATATTTCAGACTTTGTGTTCAAGCATCATTACAGTATGGACTGAACATGTCCAGATCACTGATCTTCAAACATTTATATATCTAGTGCATTAAGTTTGGCCAGTTTACACCTTGTGTAAATGGATGTGCATGCGTACATCCATCCATCTTCGTGTATGCATGTGCACATCTGTCTGTGTATCACTGAGGATATGGTGTAAAATAAATAACATACCATGCTTGAAGGCCTATTGAAACAAATAAGTCTCACTACAGTGTTTAAGAAGAAAAACAAAGTTGCCAGACGCAAGGAAGCTGAATCACAAAAGGGCTGTACTCTCTTATAAACATGCAAAAAAACCATAAAGCCAATTGAATTTTAAAATAGTTTAACAGTACTAAACAGTGTTGGAATAAAACAATTTCTTTTTAATAACATTATCCTGGATCAGTCCTGGGAAAAATGATTGCATGCCTTAGAGATCTCAGAGGCAGACAGCAAGATCCTGGTTGCTTGGCGGCAAATTAGTAAAGCCTTGCTTCTGATACGCAGAGAGCAATCTCCTTTGCTACCACTCACATTTCATTTCAGAGACTGGTATTTAGCTCAAGTATTCAAATTGTGACAAGCCAAGCGTTGTTTTAAATATTTTGCCTGCAAAAAGCAGGGAAGCATTAACCGAAATTGAACTGATGTCAAACCATATTATCCAGTTTCAAAAGGCTACAGATAAGCAGAGCAAATGAAGGAGAAAAAGAAGCACCATAAGGCCACTATTATCAAGATTTCCTTAAGGAGTGAGTACCCTTTTTGAAATATAGCTAAAGATATGATATTTCAGAATGAGATCAAATTATTCTTGGAATAAGGCCTTTTAGAAAAAGAAGTTGAACTTTATTGAAAAATGTGCAATAAGACTTCAGAAGTCTCATTATGTTTTTATATCAACACAAGACTGCATTAAAAAGTCAGTATGAGAAACCCCAACCCTCTTAATATTTCAAATTGTTTGTGGAACAGATTTACCCCCCAAAGGTTATGGAGCTGAGCTCTGGCGGAAATTATGTTCTTAAAAATTTCCCTAATGCAGGATATATTAATGCCACATATTTCTAGGCTCAGTCTAGAAGGAGCATGCTCTGTTTTGTTTTATCAAATTTGAACTGCTGAATAACTCAGTGGCTTAGGACTCTGGCTGCAGAGCCAAGGGTGGGACGCAGTGGTCTATAGCAGCGGTTCCCAACCTTTTTCGGGCTGCAGACCGGCTGGGGGGGAGCGAGCTCCATGCATGTGACCCCCTGGCACAAGTGCAACATGGCCCCTTATGCGAGAGCGACATGCCCACCGCGGGCGCAACACCCCACGTGCAAGTGTGACACGCACACCTGCGTGCGGATGGGAGGTGGAGATCCGTATCCACGGCCCAGTTTTGGCAAGCCCATGGACTGGCACCGGGCCATGGACTGGGGGTTGGCAACCCCTGGTCTATAGGTCCCCTTCCAGCTCTGCAGTCTAAGGCTATTACAAAGACTGTCAATTTCAGAATCATGCAAAGGTCACAACACAAAGGAGCTTTGAAACCTAGATTTTAAGTTAGTTCAAAGACGGTTGCATCCTCTACCACCTTAACTGGTTTGTAATTGAAATCCAGACTCAACATTTCAAACTAAAACAAAAGAACTTCTAGAGAACAAGTGACTCCATCTTGAAGTGCAACAGGAGATGATGATGTGACTAAAGATACATCTTGGAAACAGAGAGGGTGGAAACCGTGGGGTGGGTAGGTTGGTCTTTGAGCTTCCTCAGCTGAGAAAACAGAAACTAATTACAAGTTGGACCTAAAACTTCTTAAATTTCAGACAAAGTGTTCTATTGTTTCCAGATGGGAATAACCCACTCTGCCAAAAACTGACCAAAGAAGGAGAGAACAGAGAAAGTTTCTAAGGAGACCTTGCAACAGTATTAAAGGCAAAGGTCTGGATTATAGATGGATCAGAAATGAGAGAAGTTAAAAACTTATTTAAAAATGCTCTCTGGCCAAGATCTTGTACAATGGTTGTTGCAGGTTTTTGGGGCTGTTTGGTCATGTTCTGGAGGTTTTTCTTTCTAATGTTTTGCCAGTCTCTGTGGCCGGCATCTTCAGAGGACAGGAGTTAGAACTCTGTGTTCTGGTGTAATTTGTGGGATAGCTGAGTAGCTGTGGGATCAGCTTTTTGTCCTTTTCAGGAGATTGGGTGATTATGGTGATCAGGGTGTTTTTTGTTATGGTTGCATTATTGTGATAAGGGGGGAGATGATCTGTCACTGTAATTGATGGGCTAGTCTATTGTGTGCAGTGATCACCTGTCTTTGTGGCTAGGTAGAGTTCATTGACCTTTGAGCAGGCTGTATTTTTCAGTCCTGGGAGCCAGGCTTTGTCAACAAATGTACTTAAATGTGTATATGAATGGATGCTTATTAAAGAGAGGTTTTCATGGCATTTTCCAGTGGGCACTTGTTCTTAAGTGAGATGCTAATATATGGTGGTGAATGTGAACAATGAGTTAACATGTTCC